TAACTCACAATCGGCTTCGAATAGCGCCGCCTATTTGGAATTATAACACGTCTAATCACTCATGAATATGTTTGTGATTCTCATTGATTTAGAGGACATGTCGTGCGGAGTTTTTCCCCGTCCACGTCGCCCGGTTTCGTAGTTGGACCTTCTTGCTATGTCCATTTTAGGTTCACATTGACATGACCATGGGCGAAAAAAACTAAATCGTCACAATCACAATCCAAAGAAACTGTACTCATCAACGGTTACTTGATTTTCCGAACCCTGACACGGTTATCATTATTTTGCACTGACAGTATTAGGCGAAAATGTTTTCAGATGGACACATCCAGAACGCCAAAGCACACTTCCCCCTGTCTACTTTTATTTTTTTGAATTCTCCAGAAAATATTCAACTCACATGTCGCTCCCGTTGGTTGGATATGCGTCAGGTCCCGAACGATGCGGATAAGTTGCACTACTCCGATCACGTCGGTGTTGGAGCGCAGCTGACAATCAGTCGTGTGTCTCCTACCACGGTAGCGCAGCGTAAGTTTTCATCCGTTGTATACGAAAGAAAAAGCACCTGTGCACATCATTCCCCTGTTTGTACCATGAACGTATTCCAATAGAGTGATGTATCTGTCTCAGTGGGCCATCTGTCGCATGCGTAATGTATACACGGACCGAGCTTTCATTGTATATTTTCATCGGTTTCTTTTTTCGATTGCAGTTTGTCAGAAACAGGATGATGGCTATGAAAATAATTTGGGTCTTCGTGATTTTTCATGTTGACCAAAACGTGCATCCATTTCTTTTCAGACGTCATATATCCAATCCGAATAGGAACAAATGCTTCTCCTTAATGGGCTAATGTACGGCAGAGTTCAGTTCAGTTTTCAGTTTGTACAACTATTAACATGCAATCTCGTGCGCCGGTTTCGGTTGCTGTCTTTTGGCTGCCCATTTGGATAAACAATAGGAGAAAGACAGCAAGGTTGAAAGTAGAAGAGAAGAGAAAATTTAGGATTTCAGTGAACTAATGGTGCAATAAAATTAAGATCACGAGCGCTACTGTTTACGAAACAGCCATATCACTGAATGTCTGTAACCATCGGTCAGGACGATCCTGATGTCCCCATCCAGGGAGCCTAACGGGATCTATGTGATTCAGTACTCTGGTCAGGGTTTCTATACCCTCACGCCAGGCCTTAGCTTGACCACCCTTGGCTTTTTTCCACCCACTACCTGACTCGGAAAACGTTGCGCGCCGTGGCAACCTATTTGGCAACATGCGTAACACATGCCCCAAACAACGTAATCTATGGAGATCGACCACTTGCCCTAGTCGGCGACCGCGTTTACTCGAAACTCTGCTCCTAACCTCAGCATTGCCCGTCCGGCTGTCCCACCATATTCGTGTAATGCTGCGTAGACAGCGGTGTTCAAACACCGACAGTCTATTTTTATCCTGGTTTCTTCATGGCCAAGTTTCTGCCATACAGCAGAACCGGCCGAATTGCTGCAGCATATACTCGATCCTTCGCAGACATCCGGATGTCACGACGGTGCCGCAGATGTCTCAAGTTAGCAAATACCAACCGCGCCTTTTGTATGCAAGCTAACGCTTCATCTGTGATGCGTCCGTTCAGTGAGATATAGCTGTTCAACTAACAAAAGTTATCTACTGGTTCTATTACTTCCCCGTTTAGAGTGAGGCTGGGTGCTGGATCAACCTAGTAGTAGTAGTAACATTTTACACTTTGAAGGTGCAAAACGCATACCGAAAGAAGAAATAAGAATTGTTGGGAATACGTTTCATCTGGTCTATTTGAAGAGCGAAAAGTTTGGTTGCCAGATTGGGACTATCGCGTAACTGGTTGAGTGATGCCATTGTGACTATCCGCTCGATCGTTGTCCGGTATACATTCAATCCATCGACATTTCCCAGATGAGCTGCATGTGACATTTTCTTGCTGTTCCAATGCCAAACTGAGGCTTGAGAATGAAATCGCAGAAGACATTCTAGCCACAATTTGGGCTTATTTTGTAGCACACGAGACCACTGTGATGCGCTCTCACGGCTTATTCACTGCTTAGGGCGGAGGGGGATATATATTGCACACATGTCCATGGTCACACTGTGTGCCCAACAAATCACGGTACAATAATCTTTATCAAAGAGAAAAACGTTCCAGCGGTGACCAGGCTAAGATCTGGTACCAGCGTATGAAAACCCTAACCAGGTTTTCTGGGTCATATAGGTCCCGTTAGACTCCCTGGATGGGGTCCTCGGGTCGACCATGCTCGATATTTAGAGACACTGGGTGATATGGCTGAGTGTCATAAACAATGGCGTTCGTGCATCTTGTCAATTTCTCTGCAACATTGGTTCACTGAAATCTTGAATTTTCTCCTTGATCCTACTTTCCTGTCTTGCTCCTCCTATCTTTCACCTTATGTTCACCAAACAGGTAACCAGAACCGGCACTCGATAGTGCACGGTTAATGGTTTTACAAACTGAAACGCAAACTGTGACAGCGGAATACTACCGGTTTCCACACACCAAGGCAGGGATTTCACAACCGGAGCCTTCGACTAATCGACTAAGCCTGACCCGAAACGCAGCGAATGGGGTGGTGTGTGTAAAAATCGCAATCCAATGAGAGCCGGGAGAGCGGGAGAGAGGGGGGTGAATTTACTTTATTCTACTTAACGGCGAATACTCAAAACAGTTACAACGAAAATAAATGTACCATAAAACAGCCAATTGATTACAAAATAAAACTCAACCGGATTTTCATTTCAATATAAATATGCTTACAATAACAGCGTTACTGGGTAAATTTAGGATCAATGGAACACTTGTTTCGCACGTTTCATGCAAACTAGCTACTCAACATAGATGGCTCACTTGTTTCCCTTCACTCACGTGACACACCAATCCTAACTGACTCCCCACTCCACCATCACGCATGTTCATTTGATGTCTGAAAACTAATTGATTGTTTCTTTATTTGTTCAACTTTTCATTCCTCAATTCATTTCAACTCTGCAGATAATCGAAAATTGAGTTTGGAATCGACGAAACAAATGGAAACCGTGCTTCTCGAATTGGCGGATCACATCAACAGTGGTTTGCAACAATGTCGCCGCGAGCGTATTTTGCATCTGATCTTCGCAGCTGGAATCGCTTTCCTGTTGTTCTACATTCTCACCTACGGACCACACAGACATTGGTTCCTCGTGTTTCTCTCCTTCTTATTGGTCATCGTTCTCAGTCCCTGTTGTTTTTTGCTTCTATGGGGTTCACTAATCGGTCGTATCACGGAACGCCGTGCGCTGACCAATAGCGGAATCATTATCAATCTGATCTTAGCCCAAATCAAAGCGTGTATGAAGCAATCGGAGGGAGATACACACGCAAACGGGGATTACACTATTCTGTCCTATTGAATGCAACGTAACCATTGACTTTCTGAACAGCTCATTCCTTTCCTTCGTTACCAGTGAACCTGTTTGTTTGATGCTCACTTCTCTGGATTTAATTTTCTTCTGTTTCTAATGATCATCTCTATCATTTGCCAATTGTTTTCTTTGTGGCACTTTGTTTTTATTTTCCCCGGGCATTCGTTGCATCATAGCATCATAGCATCATTGCATAATCTTGATCTCTCAACTGTAACATTATTGCAAACGTACTTCATGCGGTCTCACTCTGCTCGTCTGCCTCGCCGCCCCCATCCGTACCTGTTGGTCGTCCCTCGAAAGCTGTCTTTCTCATCTTCCTCTCCACCTCATCAACATCATCATCATCATCATCTCGCGCAGCTAAACAAACTGTGCTAGTATTTAGGATGATAAAATAATTGTATTTTGTTAAAAAAAGAAAACAATTACGTGTTATAGTCGATTTGCTTTACTTTCATGCGGCTAACTCCTGTGAGATAACGACCCAGTTTCATGGATGTCAGGTCTTGGAGCCGATTATTAGTGATCATTGAAGACAAGGTTTGAACAGATGATAGTTTGGTTCCGGCCTCTTTGGTATATTATTGTCAGATCAATCAAAAAACCCTAGTGTCAAGTTTGTTGAGGGTAGGCGTATCCAATCCACAACACCCGATACGGAATCATCAAACAATGATTCTTCTTCCAAACTCGTCCGCCTCCAAATCCACTCCCCGAGCTGGAAATGACATTTCTGTTGTATAACTGACATCGGGACTTCAAGTATGGGAATGACCAGACAGAAGACTACCGGGTTCGCATACCTGACGATCGGTAAAGATCGCGAAACCGATCATGTGCTTCCGGGGGATTTTTTTCCAGTCATTCATTTACTACGAATTATAAGAACAGTTCTAACCCCTTTTTGACAGTAATAAGTCATAGTTTCAGCTGGTGTCATGCGGCAGTGCGGCTGAGCTTGCCATAGCATTGGAATGAGGGAAAGCCTTGTTTGTCAGCGCCGTCTTCAGTGACCAATCTATTGTAGACGTTGGCATCGTTGGAAATTGAAAACATAGTGCCGTCATGAAGAATTTAAACAGGTTGACCAATGTTTTATGTTTGAGCAGCACACCTGTAACTCGTTGATATTTTGTCTCCTTCTTTTTTCTAAACTTCTGTCACACACGGAAGCCAGGTTTCACATCGTTTAATCATTGGGTTCATGGCGGTCTGTTTCGTCTGGAGGCTTTTTACTCTCCATATCCAATGAAAAGCACGGTTGATGCATATGGAAATTCTGCCCTGGGCCCGATTGGTAGATTGAATCGTTAGCTCTACTAACTGAACGATTATATCGTGTTCAGTTTCATCATCACTATGGAGTTTGATCGTGTGGGATGGTGCTCGTAAACCACTTGTCTTCCAATTATCGATCCATTTTGTCGTATTGTTATTTTGCAGTTTACTTTTTCTCACACGTGGACTTGCGTGATTCGTGCTGTTCTGATCAAGTTCTCTAGTTCTCCTGTTGAACTGGTGCTGTTTAATATTGTGTGCGTGTTATGCAATTTGGCTATTGCTTCTGTTCTCATCGATGTTTTTTACTGTAGAGATTATAGCATGTTTTCCCCGGTTTCTTTTTTTGTTTGAAATTATGACAGAATCAAGCCATCCATAAGTTGTAGGAGACTCGTGGTTACCAACATAATTAGGTTTTCACGTGTGTCTGTAATCGGATGATAGCATACAATGTATCACAAGTTCATTTGGGCCAAGGATGAACAATTTTGTGACTTGGCGTGAGAACACGGGAACCTTGAATAGGGATAATTTTGTCACAGTTCATTCTTGGTTCGGAGTATTGGGACCAACGTAATCAGCGACTGAAGTCACTGGGTGACATAGTGACATAGTTTTCTTCTCAACTGGAACTTATTTCTCAAATGCGATATGATACTGTTCCAGTTTGAAGTAATAGTTTTTCAAACCACGGTGGATATGGTACGTTCCATTCCTCCGACCTTGTTCTGCGTTCAAACTGGCTTTGTTCTACCTGGAGAACCGTAATACGCATTGAATAACAAACAGGCTTAGCTCGAAAGTGTAGGGGATTGGTGTGAGTCGCATCAGGATCCGAATTCAGCTCAAAAAATAGCATTTCATCGGCACCTTTCCGGGGACCCTGCCACATCAATCTCCATCTAATCTGGAGTATACAGACAACATTGTACTGCTGGGTGAATATCCAGGTAAGTTGCGAGCTTTCCTGGATGGTTTGAGTGCTAGTGTAGCCATGTTTGGTGTGCGTTTTGCACCCCTTCAAAGTACAAAATTTTGCCACAGGACCGGGTTAGTGAAGCTCCCAACCTCTCACTAACTGGAAAGGTAATAGAGCAGGTGGATAAGTTTTGTTATTTGGGCAGCTACATCTCACCCGGTGGACACATCACGTATGAAGTGTCAGCTCGCATACAGAAGGCTCGGTTGGCATTTGCTAACTTGAGACATCTGCCACGCCGTCGCGACATCCGGCTGTCTGTGAAGGGTCGAGTGTATGCCGCGACAGTTCGGCCAGTCCTGCTATACGGTGCAGAAACTTGGCCATTAAGAAAACAAGATAAAGACAGACTGTCGGTGTT